ACCTTACAATTAGAGTCCGCCGCTAAGACAGAAGGACGATCAATCTCGTAATAACTAATAACCACTAGCATCTCCCACTGATTTCTTCGTGGATCAAAGGTTACACAGGTCAAGGAAGGGTGCGAGTTTGCGGGTTAAGGCTACACACTCCTCCGTCCTTATCATAAGGGGTTCCTTAGTGATAATCCAAAGCGCTTCCAAGGCCTTGCGCACCGCGATCTCGGGTTCAAGCCCCAATATGGACACGAAAACCTTCAAGAATAAGTCTGCGTGAAATAAATCCCGATGGGCTCCTAGCGGGGTAAGCATCCTTGATCCAGCCAGTCCTTTTAGATGTTTCTTAACCGGAACGCACAAAGGGTGACCTGTTTTTCCAATGTACTCTCATCCACAGCTTTGGCAACGTATGTAGACCGCTCCCAACTTCATGCAGTAACTCACTTTGCCGTGAGGGCATACAACAAATTAGAAGCGTCGTATACAGTATTGTGAAGCCGACTACGAACAAGAAGCTTCCGAAGGGCGTTTGGAGGTATTTCGACAATCCGTATATCGTCTTGAAGACGACACCGAAGCACAGTTTATCGGATAGATCTACTTACCTCCTCGGAAATGAAAGGCAAACAAAAGTCGCCTTGTCAGATTGTGTTCTTTCCTGTACTGTTGGTGAAGAGCAAAACCTCCGTCGTGTTGACCAAGAGCACGGGTATCCGTTCAACAAGGCAATGCTCTGGGCTATGCGCAAAGCCCCCGCTTCAGCTCAGCATCGGATGAAACATTATTTGCGACTCTAAGTATATTACTGACCACCGCCTGTTTCGTTTTTATGGGGTACGCCGATTGGACGTGAACAACTATGTTCTTGCAGCTTGACTTACGGTACCGTTTTGTTCTTGCTATGCTCGTATTACCTGGTCTTGAATATTCAAGAATGGCAACCAGTTCTTCACGGGCTTTTCGCATGTAAAGTTGATGTTTTGTGACTGCCCATTTAAGACATCGTAACAAATGTCCATTTTTTTGAGTCGAACATATGATAAGGCAGTGTCAATGTAACGGTAATATAGGATTGGGCCACGGTCCAGTTCTGATTTTCTCGATGGCTTCTCGGTTTTCGACATGAACGCTATGGCCGACACAGGAGCTAATCGTTGCCCCATAGCTAGACCACGTAACTGCTTATGATACTCGCCTGATCAGCTGAACAAGGAGCACCGCAGGCACTCTGCCAAAATCGTTATCACTTGCGTAACAGCAAACCCGTGCTGGTGTACATCAGGTTCATATTAGCAAAGTAATTAGTATATGGCCTCCAGCGCTGCGTCATTCGAAACATTAGTGTACAGTGATAAGGCGTCAAAAGATTCCATCATAAACCCTTGTGGAGGCCAGCGGTGTACAAGTTATTGAGTAGATGCTTGTGTTGGTAAGTTGGGCGAGGATGTAGCGAAGCAATTGGCCCAATATGATATTGAGAAACCAAGATATTTTGTCCTTAGGTTCCCAAGCACCACTAACTCTGGGTCTAACGTTGAATTTGGTGGGGTTAACTATGTCTAATGTTGTGAGTTTAAGCGTTTTAATCAGTGCATACAGGACGGGGCAGGCTGGTCGGTTACACTTAGGGCGACTGATGGTGGTATTAGGCAGCACAGCAGTTCTCTTTACCTTACGATATTGCTCTTTATATTCGTTTTCGGATGATTTGCAATATACAATATGATATAGAAAGAGAATCATTTTGAAGGATGCAAAGTTTCTCTGAGACAATCTCCATCGTTACTGATCGTTTTTGCCATAGGTTCCGGTTCTTCTGCATTGCACGCCCTCTCGATCTATAACCTGACTGGCGAATTGCTGCTCTTATTTCGTCCGCATGTTTTTTCTGCAAGATGGTTGTAAAGGATGTGATGGTGATACACATGAAATACCACTGTGGTGTGATACTATTGTCTGCATCTCTATTTTTGGCGTTGAGATCCAGAAAGATTTTGACGGGTTGTTTTTCAGTGTATATGGTACCCTCCCTTATGTTTTGATGCTCCTGAAAAAATATTTATTGAACGTAGCGTGTATTATAACAGCTCGCGTAAGCCTACCTCATTAGCGGACCTTTTCCCTCTTTCTTCTGCATATTTCATGGGGCTACATTCACGCTCAGTGCAAGGGCCTGTGATAAATTCGTCACCAATGAACTAAATTGTAGGTAATGTACTAGAGTTATTTAAATCTACATCACAAGTACAGCAGAAATATCATCACTTACCTTAAAGGTATCTCTCAATGAATTACTTCCCTTTTTTCGCTTCCCCTTTTGCATTGAATGCATCGTAAAACATCCTTATGTTTGTTCGTATGCACCTTCTCAAAAGTATATGCATTTCTGCACCTGGAATTCTGTAGAATAAAATCAGATTTTTCGCACTACCTGCCTTTCCCCCATAAACCGTACTGATCGATTCGACCGTACCAGTAAACTCAATGTTGTTTCCTAATGGAGCGGGACTCCACCGACTCTGGAACAGTGTATCTTCAGGTGAGGTTTGAGGTAGTAGGGGAGGGGGAGGGGGGGGGAGGTTGGGTAGGTTCAAGCAAAGGCTTCGGTTGGGTTGAAGCGGTTGGGTAGGTGTAGAAGCGTTATTGAACGAAGGTTGTGGGACGGGTTGGGGCGCCCCCCCCCCTACAGTCTTCGCTCAATAACACTTCTGTTTCTCTGCAACAATCACTTCAACAAAAACTTAGGCACCATATGCGAGGGTTGCCTTTTATATTTCGGATTGAGCAACCCCAGTGTTGCAATCTGGCAGCTGACAGCTCAATTGTAAAGTTTGACTCTTTTGAGAACGTTTTGACTTATGAGCGCTCCTTGTGTTGTTTACACTAACTTAAAAAAATTTACTCAGGCTCTCGGCGCCCCCACCCCCCACTTAGGCCGAACCTCCATCATCCCCCTTAACCTCCCCCTCCAGCTTTGGCGATGAAGCTCCATCAAGGAACAGTGCTTATCGACGGTATGGTGAATTCAACCGAGGTCGTAGTTCACTCCAAGACGAATTTCGTGGAGGTCTCCAAAATCAGTTGTTGTTCCGGTGCTGTGCGCAAACTAATATAGCAAGATCTTCATGTGACCTATCGTGAGATTGGAACAACCTTAGGCATTGGAGGGACTAACATACATTCAATATTGCATGAACATTTGACTGTAAGAAAATTTGTTTTTGAAAAATTTGGCAATCCCCCCAAAAAAGAACTCGTGTCGATTTGTCGAAAGAAACGCTCAAAAAATACGGTCTCGGCGCTTCGAAATACGTCTATGACATCGCGACAGGTGATATGTAATTGGCTTACGCATATGAGCCCGAAAGTAAACAGCAGTCGACCGTATGGGTATTTAAAGATGAGCGAAATCCAACAAAAGCTGTCCGCGCACCAAGCACTTCCGAGCAATTGGTCTCCTGTTTTTTTTAGAAAAACTAGACATGTCGTAACCGTACCCCTAGGACAAGCAGAACGGTCAATTCTGAATGGAATACAACCATCTGTTTGCCAGTTGCCTTCCAAGAAATCAGGAAAACCAAATGCCGAAGATGGATCACTCATCACTACGACAATGCGGGCTCCCACACATCGGCTCAAACAACTGCATTTTTTGCCAGTCAAAACAAAGATTTGATAAGTCATCAGCCATGTAGTCATCGGGTGACTTCTTCTTAGCTTTTAAAAAATAAAATGAGAGGTCAACGTTTTTCGACACTTGAAGAAGCCTTTGATGCGTTCAGAATGCATGTTTTAGAGTTACCTCAATCAAAGTGGCAAAAGTGCTTCTAAAATTGGTTCGAACGCATGCAAAAGTGTATAGATCTTAATGTGAAGATTTTTGAAAGGCAGTAAAGCGATTTTCAATGTTTAATATTTATTTTTGTTTTCTAATCCCGAAATATAAAAGGCAACCTACGTAAGGTGACCCAATTCCGGCCTAGAGGAGAATTTGCCCATAGCCCCGCTCAATTCTGGCGCATTCTGCGCCTCTTAAGGGCATGCTCTGCTTAAGCTTAAGAGGCGGAGTATGCGCCGGAATTGGGCGGGGCCATGGGCAAATTCTTCTCATTCGGTCTCAAGACAGCACAGACGCCGGGAAAAATGTGCAAAAGTAAGGGATGGTTCAACAACTAAAATAAAGGAAACTTACCACCGGTGGGCTTAGCGTTCTCGCAGTGAGCGGTACTTTCCACCGAGATTCATAACTCGATCCAATTAGAGCTTCGAGTCCAGGAAAAATTAAAAGAGTGAGCAAAGCCCCATGCCAGCTGGGCACGCGTAAGCTTGGCAAAGTCCCGCCCACGAGGGGCGGGCGTGCGTTGAGATGAGAGCTACCTTTCAAAAATGAATGCAGCTTCGTTCGGAAACGTTCTAGAATGCGGGAGAAGTGGTCAGAGATAATGGAACGAGAGACAATGGAACGAATGTAGTCAAACCACGAGGTGGGCGGGGTGGCACTAAAGTGGGACGGGCTTAGATCAAAATTTCATGACTCTGTTCAGAAACGTGCTAGAACGCAGGGAAAAGTGGTTAGAGATAATGGAACAAATGCAGTTGAGTCCTCAAAGTGCGCGGAGCTGGCATAGGAAAGCGGAGCTAGGACCAAAAATTCATTTTTTCACAAACTTTCTAGAATGAGGAGGAAGTAGGGTGGTTAAGTTTGTAGTGGAAAGGGTTTGCACTGAGGTGGACGAAGCTATGATCAACCACTAATAATTCTGCACAAATGAGTTATATTGAGCGTGGTGCTCGCTCTTAGCACTTCAGCGTTCGAATCTAAAGAGGACTATCTTATTCTGATAATCCAACATTCCGCTGAATGACTTCATCGTAGGTAAGCGGTCGTCGACTTCTGTGCCTTTAGGCGAGAGCTTTACACTTCAAATTTTTCCGTCACTCATCCTCTAAAAGGAACCCTAAAAGCCGCTTTTGAAAACACGTGCATTGACGTTCACCCCACTGCAGACGGCTGAACTGGACCGGTGATTTTTTCTTGAAAGTAAGTCGAAGGTCGTCTGTTGAGGTTTTTTAATCTTCATGCACTAAATAATTATATGTTGAGCTATTATTAGCAAAGAGGGATGCAAAAATTAGGGCAGCAGGTCTGTGACATGCAAAATCTCAAAGCGTATAAGTGAAACGTACCGTTCGTCTCACTTGTGCGCGGGGAGTAACAGGAAGGCATGACGCGCTCCATTGCGGAAAGTCGCGCCGCACTCAACACTTTACGTTCCTGATGTTTACACT